GGGCACATATACACGCACACGCGCCCGCACGGGCACATATACACGCACACGCCCACGCGCACGCACATATACACGCACACGCGCACTCACATATACACGCACACGCCCACGCACGGGCACATATACACGCACACGCCCATGCACGCACGGCCACATATACACGCACGCGCACATACACGCACGGCCACATATACACGCACACGCACGGGCACATGTACACGCACACGCCCACGCACGGGCACATATACACGCACATGCGCCCGCACGGACACATATACACGCACACGCGCCCGCACANCGGCGTGTCGTGTGCGTGTGCGTGTGCGGTGTGCACGTTATACACGCACGGGCACATATACACGCACTATGCGCGTAATGCTCTTCAAAAATGACAAGAATTAGCGTTATATAAAGAGATTATATAGAACAAATGATGTCAGCAAAGAAAGAAGGAAGAGAAAGAGAAGAAGCAGAATGAGAGAGAAGAGGAAGAGGAGAAAGACGAGAAAGAGAAGAGAGAAGAGAGAGAGAGGAGAGAGGAGCCAGAGAGAGAGACAGAGAGAGAGAAGAGGAAGAGAGAGAGAGAGGATAGGAGACGAGCATGACGAGAGCGGGGAGACTGAGACGAGACGAGAGAGGGATCGAGAGAGAGCAGAGAGAGAGAGAGAGAGAGAGAGAGAGAGAGAGGGAAAGAGAGAGATGACAGACAGAAAGACAGACAGACAGACAGAAATGGGAAAGCGAAATATTTTCAATGAAAGTAAATATAACATGGAAACGTGCAATACAAAATAAATGGATTTTTTTTACCATAAAAATACATTAATTATCTAGATATGCATTGCTTACAAGCCAATGACCACTATAATTACCAACTTTCAGGTCTATACCCACACAATGAACAGTCTATGAACAAGTTTTATGGTAAATGGGCTGCTTTATTTCACAGCTTACAATAAAACAATATACTACTCTATTGTATACGACTACAAAAGGTATGCCAACATGCACAATGTGCAGAACTTTGTTGAATTAGTAGTCGTGGCCTCTGTACAGTAACTTATTATAATTTACCGCCAATAATTTGCTTCTTTACTATATGTAATGTATACATCGTACTGCATTTTGTTGGTGACTTTATCTAGTGTAGTCCGTACTTATAATCTTCCCAAATTTTTTAATATGATCCAAAATATGCTTTGAATATGTTCTTATTATTGTCCAAATCCTGTATGTGTCTACATATTTGATCAGCTATATGTGTAAATATATGTACTTGTGTCAAGTATGAAAATAAAAAATATTAAAAAAATAAAAATAAAAATATTAAAAAACTTTCAGGTCTATATTTTTCAGGCTTGGATTAAAGCACTAGTAAATAATTTAAAATGTCAATAGCAGTGATACAGTTTCGACATTGATGTATCAAAACGCATACAATATTAACCATTGAAACACAACAGATGAAACCAACATGACATATAAATGATGGCATTTTTGTTTAAATTACTCGTGCGTCCGCACGATCACAAGATCTCTCTTAGCCATCACATTGAACCAGATTTCCCCGAGATATAGTTGCTAGCGAATAACATGCTATCGCCTGCACAGACTACTGACTATCTTGTGTTGTCATCGTTCGTTGCTATCAATAAGACGTTCTCCGGGGAGACACTGGAGTCAACGTAGAATCGCACGCGGCAGTCAAAGCCTCGCTCCTTCATGTAGAGAATTCTCCCATGGTCGATAAGTCGCTTACACTTCCCTCCGACCTGTTCGCGGTCCCACCTAAAGGAGCGAGTGAGCCGAGATAAGTGACACACACAAGCCACATCATCACGGACACAAATAATCTTGAAAAAAAATGTAAAGATGCATTTCGACGTATACAACACGTTTACCGACAACATAGAAGCCGAGTCGTGAATAATAAAACATTGATGAATTAGCTAACCCCCTTATCGACACGCTTCAGACTACCCAGTCGAACTAACTCGCCGATTTGTTAAACTGCAGAGCTTACGATGTGGTTGATAAGGATATTACCTCACGGCGTTCGCAGCGACATTTTCGTCATGATTAACAGTGACATCCGTCTTGCTGTCCGCGTTGTCTCGGCTGTTGGCTTGTTCCCCAGCGTCGGTCAGCTTGCACGTCGCCCAGCTGGTCATACCGCAGATGAGGCTGAAGTCAGCAGCGCTCAGACCCCACTCACTGAATGCGCGCTTCCCCACGTAGCTATTCCAGTCCGACCGGTGGTGGCAGCACAGTGCAATGACAACGCCTCTACATTGGTGCAACGTTGGTTCCTCGGGAAGGCCAGTGGCAGAGGTATTATCCGACGGAGGGGGCGGTAGCGTTGATGCGAGACAGCAGAGAGCAAGATCTACGCATATAGAGAGAACCACGTCGGGCATATCATGGCTACCCAGACAGTACTAATAGACAAATTAAAATACAAAGTAAAGTGCAAGTGACACACATCTGAACTAGGTAAAGTGCATATCACTAGACTTCCATGCGTGCAACAGCAACACATACCATTATTAGTATGATGAATTCTACTTGTACCTTCTGACCTGTGATATTAATTTTACTATTACCGCTACCAGAGCAATGAGAGGACACGCAACAATGTTACATTCGACGCACCTGTTGCTGCACCACACAGGTGTTTGCTGAATCCAATGATTGGTGTGTGTTTCTCCTTGATGCTAGGAATTTCACTAAGATTGAGATGAGCAATATCCATCCTTATTCTTTCAAATGCTGGACCTTCCTCTTTGTGAAAACTGTCAAACTGGTATGAATACACAAAAAACTATATAAACTTCTTCTTTATTAGTCACATAAGTTCTACTCAAGCTGATAAATGAAGACACACGAGCTAAATTAAATATCTAAAACACTTGAAGAAATATGTCTAAACCCAAATTGCAATCATGTCTACAAAACACAATTATTTACATAGACATTGCAACGTTGAGGTACAATATAATATAGTACTGTAAACAGCCAGCCCAACATGTATACATGTATATATGTACCTTGTACCTATTCGCGCCTCGATCAACCAGAACAAAGTGACTGTCTTCAGAATGTGGTGAAGCTTGCTGCACCCAGTGCGACATCTGACCTAAGATCATATATGCATGTAACTACCCAGTAAAATGGATACCCCCAAACGGGTCCCTATAACTTTTACTTTACCATGACGATAAATTTCGACTACCATTAAACATTATCGACTATCGTTCAACTATCATTATTATCAGAAAAGACATTAGAAACAAATACCCTTTCCTGCTCCAAACTCTACGAAGCAATGGCCGTTTTTTAACAGTCCCAGTTGCTCCATGTGTCCAAGTATTGATGCCTTGAAAAAACAAACATTCTTACGTCCAGAATTTACACCTTGTCAACTGTAATATCTATAACAAATTAAATTGAACTTTAATTTACATACCCGATAACATCCAGAAAGGTCTTAAACAATTACATACTTGATTGTATTTTGTTGATCTGCGTAGAACACTTTCTAATATCTGCCTGCCAGAGGCACAGAACTCCATGAAAGACAGATTAATAATTTACCTGCTCTTGATATCATTTCACGAACTAATAACGATCCTGCACTAGCTTATAGTTTAACATCCAAGTTAAAATTTTTATCTATTAATTTTTTAATACATGCAATGGATCGCAAAAAGTAAAATTCCATATGGCACCTAGTTTTACGTGATTATTAACATTTAATACTCGCATCAATGATGAATGACAGACAGTGGCTACAAACCATGTGTTGATAGTAAACGATGATAACTCAAGGATGTTTTTTTTTATCAAGGTTAGTGCCTCTTACACTACAGTTTGTGTATGCATGATGGACCTGTTGCTGAAGATGCTTCTGTGCAAAGCTGCCGTAATATGGGTCCTGTAGCCGTTGCCTCAACACTTCATGCGTTAGGATCTCAGTGGCAATCTCTGGAACATGATCTGAAAAATATGGTTTTTGACACGCAAGACCCATCTCAAATACTTTTCAATATTTTTTGCATTGCTTGGGAAGTAGCAAGATGGCCTTGTCAACTGAGTGAAATATTATGGCCAGAGTTTAGTTATAATCGTGTCGAAAGCTGTGTTATGCTGCGTTTACACTATTGATTTTTGTCAGCAAATTGTACTGATTTCAAGTGCATTCCAACACAATTGGCTGAAATTCGATTGCGCTGGAGTCTGAGTCGGGCCAAGTTGGAGAAATAGCCTGTTTCTCCAACTCGGCGACTTGACTCCGACTCCGACTTCAACACAATCGAATTTCAGCCAATTGTGTTGGAATGCACTTTAAATCGATACGATTTTTGCTAAAAAAATCGATAGTGTAAACGCAGCATTACACTCTCATACTAGAAAATTTTGTTTCCTTTATTTTTTTACGTTCATCTTTTTTAAGTATGGTTTTCAAAATAACTATACAGTAACTACGTATGAAATTTGCTGATCTGAGAAACTTGAAGAGTGGAACTACCTGATCCATGTAACTAGATATGTATATACAGAGGGAGAAACAAACTTTTGAACAAGGAAGGCCAACGATATCCAGCCTACCCTCTAAAATAGGAAATATATATGCAACATAGGATGAATAATCTTTACTCTAATACATTAAATAAGTTCATACAAATATCAGTATTTACTATAATTATTATTATTACTTGTAGTACAAATGCTTTCTTATATTCTGTAATGCTCTTTGTAAAATACCTTTATAAATTGTCTCAATTTTCTCAACTAACTCATGAAGATCAGCAGTAGATGTATCCGCCAATGTGACCTAATGGCATACGAAACAAGAAAGTTAGACAAAGAAAAACTTATAATATGCTACACATGTGCTGATATATTTTATGGTATCCAAACGAATGCTTTTAAAAACATGCGTTTAAAAATTAGTAAAGTTCAGAAGAAACTACTAGGTACTTATAGCAGATCAGTGTTTACATTTACCTTTATCGGGCTGGCAGTCAATCCAGCATTGATGTTCTTACGGTAGTAGTTCTAAAAACCCAATAGACACCATCAGAATTAGCTGTATATAGGTAATGCTGGTATATGATCTAACAGAGATTATCACACTAAGCCTATAACCACATAATTGGAAGAGAGAAACCAGTAAAGTGATGAGGTGCATCACTTCATGTGTAGGCACCTGTCTCAATAACATAGTTATCAAAGTGAGAGTCACAGCAACAGTATATATACTTCTGGATGCATACTTTCATCATAGATCGCACATTTAAAATCACACGAAACACCCTTTTATTATTCTACACTTATTTATGGGAGAGCTGTTGCCTCCGAGGGTCGTGGGGGTAGCTGTCCCAGGTAGATTTCAGAGAAAAGCCATATAAATGCGAGTGACCGTAAAATAAGTGTAAATCATCATGTAGCAATCCATTGAAGCCTCATGAATGTCGACTGGGAGGTGGGCCCCTTCCTTAACTGTACCCAGCTTAGTCATAAAATATTGCTCCCCTAGGAATTCGTTCAGGCTACAGCTGTATATTGGGGAGGTGGTTGGCACAAAAATTCACTTACCGGTTTCGGCATCTCTCTTGCATTGCACTTCTTCAAATGGCTCTCCAGTTTGCTAGCAAAGCATGTGCTGAAAAGTTGAATGTCACTAATCTAATTATTCTTTGAAACGTAATCCTTTTGACATTATGCTATAGCTATATAAGATTTATATCAGTACTATCAAAATTAATCGCATACTAGAACACATCATTGAAATGTTAATTAAATGATACTGTAGTTACAATTCCAGGAGTAATTAAAACCAAAATGGAAACACCAACACTACTTACAGATAGCAAGCTATCGGCACAATTTATTTTATGTAGATTTGCTGACTTACAGTTACACTTACTGTTGGGGATCAAGAGGACACTGCATTCGTTCACCTCTTATGTGTGTGGCTTCATCCTTGTATTACATAAAAACACGGTTAATTATAAAATATTCTGTCTGGCAGTTATCACAATTAAGGTGGGGACAGATTCAGAAATTTGCAAATTGGGAAGGTTCAGTGAATCAGGGAAAAAAATAAAATGTATTTTTCTGGGGCTACTTTTCAAGCTCGCGTGGATGAAAATAGCACTCTAAAATTTGGTTTGCATTGAACTCTATGCAAATTTACGGGGGCTCTTTTTGGCATTTCCGGGGCTCTTTTTGGCATTTCGGGGGCTAAATCGCCCCGAGCCCCCGTGTATTTTTTTCACTGCAGTGAATGCAAGGTGGGTGGGTTGGGGGTAGCTCTCCACATGGTTGTAATCTGATGGATTTTCACTATAGTTTTTTTACTATGGATTTTCTAGTTTGAAGTTCTGTATTCTATTTTAGCTGAAACAAATTATACGCATGCATAGGGAGTCTGTGTGTGTGACAGTGTGTGTGTGGGAGGGGGGAGGGTCCTCACTTGTAACAGCCTGCATGAAACCACCTCTAAATCTGCTCCTGATAGCTAGTCAGGGTAAAAGCAGCAGTTTTCTCCAGTCCAATCAACGAACACCACTAGTAGTAGGACGTGTACATGCAGGGGCTAATCTAGCTGCTTAATATGGGCACCCATGGCGAGCGTAGCGAGCATAAAAAAATCATATATATACTTATCTATCACATCTGCATCAGAGCTCTGCTAAATTGGGCGTTTTATGAATTTTGAAATTTGGGCGTTTTGCTAGGGGGTCGTAATTTAGGCGGCCGGTATTCGGTATGAAAAATGGCCTGGATTAGGCCCTGACACATCAATTAATGAGGCAGAGCAGGAATTATAAATATGATCCAGTGGCCCGGCCCCAGGTCAGGTGGCAGGTAAACAAACTGACAGACACAAATCGGCACCATGCATGAAACATACAATTACTTAGTATGAATTACTATAGCTTTACCAGTGTAGCCTACACTGTAGTGTAGCAACTCTAGCACTGTAGTACAGTCTGTACTACAGTACAATAGTACTAGTACTAGGGATACTTATAGTACAACTACTATCCCTACTCGACTGTACAGACAGTACTACACACAGCACTTCGAACGTCTCAATAAAAAAAGAAGGTAAATAAACACAAAATCTAGCTCTCTTATTCATGTTGTTTGTGCACGCAGCACAGGGCGGCCGTGCGGTGTACTTGTGGTTGTGTGTTGCAGATGAGCATTTGACCGGCATTTACAGGTGATATAGGCGAAATAGAGTAGAGAAAGATTAAGACTTTGGTACATTTCGTGTTTATTTACCATTAATTTTTTTTATTGAGACGTTCCAAGTGCCTGTGTGCAGGCCCTATACTAGCTGCGAATCACGGACACTGTCACTGCATGTCTCAGTGTATGTAACTGTAAGTGTAATAGTAGTAGTACCGGTACTA